TCAATGACTCCCATTCCCCAGCAGCCACCAACTGCCCGCAGCCCTTCAATCCTTGGTGAAACACCGACTGTCTTGATCTTGTTCTGGTAGCTGCTGTGGGTTCATGGGAGCAATGGCCGTGCCATGTCCAGATGACAGCATCTCACCGCTTAACTCTCTACCCTCCAGCTCTTCTATTCCTTCTACTGCTTCTTCTGAGGGGCTCCTTGAGACTTGGGTATGGGCGACGACATACATGTCCCCTTTAGTCCTGACCAACTAACGAGCTGTTGTGAGCCTCTGAACTGGCTGCTGCCCATAGCAAAAAGAAGTTTCTCTGACAAGGGTCAGAGCAGCACCCATCTGTGGGATTGAACATCGGCTTTTAGAAAGTAGTTTGACAACATGTCCATTTAGCAAAACAACAGTAGTGCGTTTCCCGCTAGCTCCTGTGACTTCACCAGCCATGAGCTTTTGATCAGGCTTACAAGAGTTTTCTCACGTGGAGACGGCCTCAGCTCCATGCTGAAAGCGGTTGGTTACTCCTGTAAACAGCCATGCCACCAATGCACCCACAGGCACATCTTGCCTGGAGGTAGGTATTGTAGCATGCAGGAACAGAGCTTTCTCTTTTTGTTCGTTTGCTTAGTTTTATTTATCTTTTTTTTTTGGTGACAGGTTTTTTTTTTTTTTCTGTGTAGCCCTGGCTGTTCTGGAACTTGCTCTGTACAGTGGGCTGGCCTTGAACTCACAGACATCTGCCTGTCTCTGCCTCCCAAGCACTGGGATTAAAGGTGTGTGCTGCCGTTGCCCAGCTGGATCTAAGAGGGGCAGGACAGTGACAGCTGTTAAAAAGACTTGGCTGTCCCTGGCTTCCTTTGAAGGTGGAGGCAGAGCCCTGAGGTGGAAGAGGCTGGAAAAGCAGGAAGTTGACTCTCTCCGGAGCCTCCAAGGGCCCTACCCAGCCTGCAGCTTCACTTTAGCTTCAAGAGACACACTGCAGACTCAGGACAATGCATCTGTGTTGTGTCAGCCACTCAGACTGTGGCTTTCTGTCCCCGCAGCCACAGGACACTCGTGCAGCAGCAACTTGAGCTGAGGTAGAATGGTGGGACCTTCCAGTTTCCTTCTCTAGAACTTCACCATCAGCACACTCAGGACCAGTCGTGCCGAAGGCAAGCCCTGTGGCGAGGGAGGACTTTGCCTCACGTAACCCTCTGAGCCCACCGAACCTTAGCACGTAGGAATGCACAGTCTCTCTGGGAGTAGGACTATGAGGGCTGTAAATGTTTGCTTTGTCCTCCATGGTATTGGGCCATGTCACCCGCAAGAGGAGGTCACCTTGGCATTATCACTGCCTGTAGTCTCAACTTGGTCTTCATTCACATACAGGATGTTTAGGGGACAGAGTGGAACACTGTCCTCCATGTCCCCTGTTGTAGCTGGGAATTGACAATTCCTAACCCTTTTGTCTTACTCCAACAGTTTTTTTTCTTTCTTCGAGACAGGGTTTCTCTGTGTATCCCTGGCTGTCCTGGAACAGGCTGTCTTTGAACTCTGCCTACCTTTGTCTTAAAGGCTTGTGCCACCATATCCAGCCCTTAACACAGCATTTAAAGAAGTCAAAATGACTTTTAAAAACATGATTAAAAATAGGCAACTTTTTATTTATTTATTGTTTGTGTCATACTGGTGATGGACCTTAGGACTTCATTCATGCTGGATAGGAGCTCTACTACTACAGGAACCCCAAGCCCTTATTTATTTATCCATTTATTAATTTATTATTTAGAGACGGGGCCTTGTGTAGCCCAGGGTAGCCTTGAACTTGCTATGTAGTCAAGAATGACCTTTAACACCCAACCTTCCTGCCTCCACCTCCTAAGTGCTAGGATTCTAGGTGTGTGCCAACGCACCTCGCTTACGTGGGGTTAGGTGTCAGGCCTAGAGCTTTGTGCAGGGTAGGTAAACTCTCTACCAGCTAAGCCCATCCCCATGCCCTCCTTCCTTTTGACACTTCAGGAAACTGCTCAGGGTGACCTTGAGTTCACTCTAGTCATGGTAGACCTTGAACTTGAGGTCCTCCTGACTTAGCTTCTGGAATAGCTAACAGGCCCCAAAGGCTAGACTTGGTTTTTTATTTTTTTTTTGCTTGGTTAAAAAAAATTATTTTATCATTATCAAGTGTGTATGGGCATGTGTCTGAGTGTGCATATGTGTGTTTGTATGTGTGTGAATGTGTGTGTGTCTGTGTCCCTGTGTGTATGTGTGCATGTGTATATTGGTCTGTATGTGTTTGTGTGTGTCTCTGTGTGTGTTTGTGTGTTTATGTGTCTCTGTGTGTGTTTGTGTGTCTCTGTGTGTGTGTTTGTGTGTCTCTGTGTGTGTGTTTGTGTGTCTCTGTGTGTGTGTTTGTGTGCCTCTCTGTGTGTGTTTGTGTGTCTCTCTGTGTGTGTTTGTGTGTCTCTGTGTGTATGTGTGCAGGTGTGTGTGTGTCTGTGTGTGCATGTGTATATTTGTCTGTATGTGTTTGTGTATGTCTCCGTGTGTGTTTGTGTCTCTCTGTGTGTGTTTGTGTGTCTCTCTGTGTGTGTTTGTGTGTATGTGTGCATGTGTGTGTGTCTCTGTGTGTCTCTCTGTGTGTGCATGTATGTGGCCACCTCATGTAGAGGTTGGAGGATGACTCTGTGAAATGTATTTTCTCCTTCCAGCCTTTTGGGGGTTGGGGTGTCGGGCTTGTGCTGTAAGCTCCTTTACCTGCTGAGCCCCTGATGCCTGACTGTAAATGGACACCACTGTTTTTCTTTTCTCAAGCTCTAGGGCAGATCCTCATAGCCCTGACCATGAACCTGGTTGGACTGAAGCCCTCCATGGGGGACACAGCCAGTACTCTTCCTTATTGACTCAGGTCCTCAACACAGTAAGGTACACCTCCTCACCTCTTGCCACTGCCCAGATGTTGACCCCAGCTGAATATGTGAGCTGAGCCCTCTGCATTGGATGCCCTTCCCTTCTTCCAAGTGGAGCGATGCGCTGGTGTGGCTCAGCCTTCCTAAGTCCCACTTCCTTGGTTTGTCAAGGGGAGTGATGGAGGAGGCATGGAGGTGCTTGTGCTCACAGACGGTACCAGGGGAAGCTGGAGTGTTAGCACATAGCCTTGTTCCTTCAAGGGAGGGGATGTGATACCTGTTACCCTCCCAGAAGGCTGGTATTGGATGTGCATTCTAGTCTGGTGACCTTTGTACTATCTGTGCGGCCAGAGACCACACTGGGCCCTGCCCAGAACCCTTATAGTAAACTTGCCTTTGTCAATCTATAGAACCTATCACTTCCATAAAAATAGGTTCTATATCATCAGGTGGTAGTGGCCTTTAATCCCAATGCTCGAGAGGCAGAGGCAGGCGGATCTCTGTGAGTAAGAGGCTAGCTTGGTCTACAGAGTGAGTTCCAGGACAGCCAGGGCTGTTTCACAGAGAAACCCTGTCTTGAAACAAACAAACAAACAAATAAACAGGTTCTATAGATTGACTGAGAGAAACTTTACATACTTTACAAAGAATTTCGATGTCATCATGTCTGATCTTTATTTAGCTTGCTTTGTTCCTCAAAGAGATTTATGTGTGCTTTATTGTATACATGGGATTGAGTTTATTATCACCAGAAAAGTTTTCATTTAATTGAGCTGTTCTTAAATAAACCTAAAATAAACCACTCCAGGTCAGACCCCTGAAGTTTGAACGCACATCAGCTACTTAGTCATGCTGAATGGAACGGCTTTCTTACCTCCTGAGGACTGTTACTCCGCTGACCATGATAGTCAAAGTGACCCCCACAGGGTATACTCCTGGGACTCACGTCCTAGTGTGGCCTGAAGAACTACTAAGTTGTGGGCAACAAGCGTGGTGGGGGGTGAGGGTCAGACTGTGAGGTGCCCATTGCTTCCTGTGGCATTTATCATGTGCATCTTTCTTTTTGGGGGGGGGTTCGAGACAGGGTTTCTCTGTGGCTTTGGAGGCTGTCCTGGAACTCGCTCTAGTAGACCAGGCTGGTCTCGAACTCACAGAGATCTGCCTGCCTCTGCCTCCCAAGTGCTGGGATTAAAGGCGTACACCACCACTGCCCAGCTTATCATGTGCATCTTAACTGGTACTTGTTGCTGGAACCCCAGGAAATCACTCCAGGATCACAAGTCTTCAGGGCAAAGGTGGTTTCTCTGACCTTTTATCACCTGCCAGTGCCACACACACAGCTGGGGTCCAGGGATGTCTTACATCTGGTGATACCTGAACGAGGGCCCCAGGTTGGGGAGCAGAATCCTTTCCAGCCTTGCCAGTAAGACCCTGGAAGACCTGTGAGGGATTTGCACAAGCCCTGGGCTGGGCAGAAGCCGCTGGCTTATTTAATACCCGTGTGAAGTGATGTTGGGAAGACTTGAGGCTTTGCTGAAGATGGTGACCACAGGGAGGGGAACCCAGGGTGGGCTGCACAGAGAAAGTCCCAGAATCATACCCAGGCAGGCTGCTGGAAGCTTACGGATGCCCTAGGAAGAGCAGGAACTGGAACAGGATTTAGCCGGTTTCTTCATTGTTTTCTGTCTCCCTTGAAATTTCTGTGAGTTGTGTAATTTTTGTTCTGAGTAAGAAGGAGACAGGGTGTTTTGCTTTGAATGACATGCTTTCTCTGGAGGCTGGGAGAGCTGGGGGATGGTTTGCTAAGCTCTGGGCATCAGTTTCCCCTTGTGTGAAACGGGGCTCTGAATTCTTCCTCCAAGGGAGGCCAGGAGGATCCCTCAGGAGAACATGTGAAGAAGCAGGGCTGTCCCAGGCCTGGGGTGATAAGACACTCTACAGACCTTCTCGGGGACATCTAGACTGTGAGCTGGCCCCTGCTGCCCGGTGTGTGTGGCTGGGGCTGTGTGGCGGGTGAGCATCCTGGCTGCTGACGGTGCAGCCTCCCTCCTGAGCTGAGCGTAGGCATTTTGGGAAATCCCTTAATACCTCTATTCTGTGCAGGCGTATATAAGGAGGACCAGAACACTAGCTCTCCACTGCACTGCCCAGAGGCCCTTGCCTGACTCACTGCCAGCCTTCGGTCCCTGCGTTGCCAAGAAGAACATGGACGTCACCATCCAGCACCCTTGGTTCAAGCGTGCCCTGGGGCCCTTCTACCCCAGCCGACTGTTCGACCAGTTTTTCGGCGAGGGCCTTTTTGAATACGACCTGCTGCCCTTCCTGTCTTCCACCATCAGTCCCTACTACCGCCAGTCCCTCTTCCGAACGGTGCTGGACTCTGGAATCTCTGAGGTAAGATGGCTTGTCTAGAGGACAGCTAGGGATCCACTGCTGCCCTGTGCTCTCCTCTAGAAACATCCCTGACTCTCCCAGCCTCGCAGCCTGCAGAGGCTGGGTGGGAGCCCACGTGCTTAGCTGCCCAAACCTCCACATGGCTGGGAACGGGGTCGGAGGGGGCGACCTGCCCGAGCCCGACCGCTGCCTTTTCCTCCCATCAGCTCATGACCCATATGTGGTTTGTAATGCACCAACCACATGCTGGAAACCCCAAGAACAACCCCATCAAGGCAAGTTACATGGCAAAGGCAAGCGTCCTGAGCTGGCCGCTCCCTGGACTTTCTCGGTTTTTTTTTTTTTTTTTGGTGTGGGGGTGGGATGTTCTGCCCTGATGCACAGAGAGGAGGTCCTTTCTTATAGCAGAGCAGGTGCTTTCTGTAGCTGGCAAAGCTGCGGATGGGGCTCCCTTCTAGCTTCCCCAATGGTCAAAGAAAGGCCACAAGGCTATGTCTCTCTCTACCCAAGGGACCCACAGTTCTGAAAGAGTTAAGCCTCCCTTTACTTTAAAAGAAGGCTTCCAGAGCAGGTCCAGCCGCAGGCCTAGGAAGCCAAATGCCCAAATGCAGGCTCTAGTTATGGTAGAGGGAGGAGAGCGCAAAGGACTTTGTGCTAGCAGCCAGGGGTGCTGTGACTGCTTTTGTAGTGTCACATGGCCGGTGAGGTGGGCTCCTGGGACTGTGGCTATATCGCATACTTTAGTCCTACCAGCTAGCCAGTTCCCAACTAGTCAGGCAAAAAAATCCCCAATGGACCCACTAGCCCATGATCAACCATAACCAACCGGCTATTTAACAAAATAATCAACCAGTTACTTAACATGCTGAGACCCACCCAACTTCTCACCGGCCACCAGGCTATAACGAAACAACTGGTCAACCTGTTAACTAGCTACCCGATGATGATCAACCAGCCAGCTAACTCATAACCAATTACTTGAACTCTAATCAGCCAAGCCATTCATTTATCAACCAGTCATCCTACTATAACTAGTCCTCCAACCTATAACCAATTAGCCAGCCACCCTATAATCGGTTGGCTGACCCAGCATTGCCCAGTCTTTGGGTTTGGAGGTCAGGGGTGATCTTACCTGAGGGGCCCGGTGAGCAGTCCCAGCTCCAGGGTTACTTGGCCTGTGGAAGTAGAGCTGTGACAAGATTGATTGTTGGTTCTGACGGCTGGGCGCTTCCCTGTCTGGTCTCATCCACCCAGTAAGGTCACACGGCTGTTTCCCCATCCTTTGCCCCTGGAGCTGGTGGTCCTTTGGGAAGCTCCACATGTAGGTTTGGGTTTCAGGTCCGATCTGACCGGGACAAGTTTGTCATCTTCTTGGACGTGAAGCACTTCTCTCCCGAGGACCTCACTGTGAAGGTCCTGGAGGACTTTGTGGAGATCCATGGCAAGCACAATGAGAGGCAGGTGAGTTTGGGTAGCACCTCCATCTGTGTGGGTCCTGCACGCCCAGAGAAGCCTGGGGAGCCTCTCGTGCTAGGCTGGCTCCTCCCAGGACCATGGAGGTCACTGTCCTCAGCCCTGGCGGGCCCAGGCAGCAGCATGAGCGGGGCTCAGGGATGCAGGATGAGGACCTTAGTATTGGGCACAACTCCAGCTGTCCTCCTGGATCTTCTGGGTGATGGGATTAGAGAGGGCCTCAGGGAATGAAGGCTGAAGGTAGCCCCCTGTGAGCCATATTTTCACATGAAGCCTGACTGGGGAGAGAGAACCCCGAGGATAGGAGAATTGGAGTTTATGCACGCCAAAAGTTGCACAGCCCCCGTGGTATTTCAGTTAGTGAGTGACAGTCCTGAGGCATAAGGAGGTCCCTTGCCAGGCGGGAAAGACTTCTTCCCCAGTAGTCACCCACCCTGCCCATGGCTCCTGATCAGGTGGAGAACCCTCAGGTGTTTGGGTTGAGGGAGCCCAGGCCCTGGCTGGAAGTAGCATCTCCCGATGGAGCTGGGATGATGCAGGAAGCTCAGAGGCTGGCTAGGTGTGTCACACCTATGTGGGCCAGATGGCAGAGAGGGCTAGAAGCGGGGTTCTCAGACCCAATCCTAGTTTCTCTTGGGTGGGCTTTTCTGTCGACATTAGGAAGGGCGGGGCCACCCAAGCTCCTATGTGCTGAAGTCAGCACAAGGCTTCCCTGACCCTGGGTCAGGCTGCATAGTGCACCTTCTACCTCTTGACCTTTGCCCCTAGACAGGGAGGAGATTGGGCTCAGGGAGCTGAGTCTGGGGGCCCAGGATTCCAGAGGAAGTGAGTTTTCTGCCTGTCTGACGTTTTCAGTCCAAGGCGAGGGGAAGCAGGGAGAGTATAGAACCAAGGACAGCAAAGTTCGCTGGAGTTAGAACAGAATCTGCAAAAGCCAGTTCCGCAGCGCAGGCCCTGAGCAGGCTGACTCTCTGTGCTTGGCCATCACCAGAGGTCCCTTGGAGGCTTGCTGTAACTCCAGGGTTTAAGGAGTCTGGTTGTAACTCTCTGGTGAAATGGCTAGGCACTGGTCCTCTGGTCCTAGAGCCCAGCCCCATGAGACCCCCTGGACCCTGGCCACTTTGTGAGGTCTCAGAGGTTCCTTTTCCACTGTGGGATGGTGGCCACTACTGGCCCATCACCCCTGACCATTCTCCTCCCTGATGGTGCCCAGGATGACCATGGCTACATTTCCCGTGAGTTCCACCGTCGCTACCGTCTGCCTTCCAATGTGGACCAGTCTGCCCTCTCCTGCTCCCTGTCTGCGGATGGCATGCTGACCTTCTCTGGCCCCAAGGTCCAGTCCGGCTTGGATGCTGGCCACAGTGAGAGGGCCATTCCTGTGTCACGGGAGGAGAAGCCCAGCTCTGCACCCTCGTCCTAAGCGGGCCTCGCCTTGGTTGTCCCCTGAGGCCCCTGACCCACTGAGCCCAGGGACCACAGCAGAGTCTGCCTTCCTTCCTTCCTTCCTTCCTTCCTTCCTTCCTTCCTTCCTTCCTTCCTTCCTTCCTTCCTTCCTTCCTCTTTGTTCCCTTCCCATTTTCTCAGAGGGTTGAGGGTTTGAGAGAGTGGCTTAGAGAGCTTGGGGTCTTGGCCTGAGGGGCTGCAGGTTCGGGGTGACGGAGGCTCAACACCAGCCAGCTGGAAGGAATGATGGCATTGAACTCTTGAGATATGACCTGTCCTCCTGGAACGTGACAGAGTGGGTGGCGGCTAACCAGCCGAGAGCCCTCTGCCGAGCCCCTGGACAGCAGCTTCCCTTGCTGCCCACTCTTACCGCAGGCTCATGTGCCGCGCTCCGACGGCTCACTTCTCCCAGCCCCTCCTCCTGAGACTTTCTCTATGACCCTGGCCACCCATGAAAATGGAGCCCCTGGCAGACAATAAAGAGCAGGTGACAGAAGCAACTTGCAGTCTGGTGTCCTGTTGTCTCCCTTTGGGGTGGGGGTGGGGCACTGGGAGGGTATAGCGGTCATCTCCCACCTGCCCTGAGAGGGTTTCTGGCACCCTACGTCATCTCTTAAGCCCATGGTCCCCTCTGCAGCTAGCTCTGCGGCACTGTGTCCTAACTCATGCTGGAGGCTTCAGGTTCCCTGTCTCCTCCCCCTGACCAAAGTAGACATCGGACCTTGAAGTTCAGGTCTACCCAGATCAGCCTATTGCTAGCTACCTGTTCAGACCCCAGTGGTGGGGGGAGGCCTTGTCTGGAGGATCACAGGCTTCCACTAGGGCTGGGGTGGTGGGCAGCAGGCTCTCAGGACACACAGGCCCGGCCCGTGCAGGTAAGCCCTGCGGATGGTCCAGTACTCAGGAGGCACAACACACACATTGCCCATTACATGCGTGACACACACCATAGTGGCTACCACACATCACACCCATGTACACATATACACGTCACTCGCCCCAAACGTACAGCATACTACATACACTATGCAGCACACATACAGGGTACTCATGGTACCTGTCACACATATAGAACCCACCAAGCTCACCGCATAATCCACATACGGCACACTGTACATACATGTACACACATGTACCACAGCACATGCCACTCCCACCACAGCACATGCCACTCCCACCACAGCACAGATCACTTCTACCAAGCTGAATTTATACATACTGGCTGTCTTCTGGGAAAGACCACCAGCCATGCCCACTCCGTACCTTATCACAGGACACCCATAGGCTATTCAGCCATTTCATCCACTTGCACAGAGTTGAAGAGACCCCTGTGTCAGAAAGGATGGATGCTGGGTAATCTTGCCCCGAGACCCTCGATCCTGGGCCAGCCTTCAGTTTGACTACCTAGGATAGCCCTTAAGGTCACGAGGGTGGCGTCTTGCATGGTACAGCTGCAGGCAGGGGGCTGCGCTGTCCTTGGATATCCAAGGCCTTATATCCCTCATAGCAGTTATTGGGCTGTGTGGGCTGTATTGTGACCATCCAAGATTACCTGACCTGGTCCCTCAGAATGAAGATGTCTTTGGGGATAGGATCTTTTTTGGAGGTGATAAGGGTGAAATGAGGTCCCCAGGGTGGCCCTGACCCAACTTGATTGTATCATTGCAAGAAGAGAGCAGAAGTTCCCTCCCTGGCTCCCTCCCTCCCTCAATTCCTTCCTCATGCCACCCTCTCACTCTCTGCACATCTGTCTCTTAAACTTGGGGGGCCTTAAAGGCTGTAGTTAGGGTTGCTTTGGCCCTCTGAGATGCTCTGGGATCTTGGGGTGGGGATCTCCAAAAACTCCCCTCCTTAGAATAGGAAAAAACCGCTTTCTCACCTGCCCTCCCTGCCCAGGATTCCAGGTGACGTCATGTCACCACAGCTACTACTGGACCAAGGTCACAAGACCCCCTGCAGGCACAGAGCAGCTGGTCATCCTCAGGCAGCTCTGAGGATCAGCGCTGTCATCCTTGCCCAGGAGGAGCTCCGGTTTACCCATCGGCACAGCAAGGCCCCAGGGGACAAGCAGCAAGGCCCCAGGGGACAAGCAGTGAGGCCTGGAACTCGCTAGGACCCACCTGGGCTTGTTTCATAGACCCCATGTGCTCAGGAGTTGTGGCAGGTGACCCTGACCTCTTTGGAGTCATGACGAGGTCTTCTGGATGCTGTGGCAGCAGGAGGTTACTGCGACCCAGTTCTAACACATTGGGTACAGCTGTGTCTGTGGCTGCATGCTGACCTCTTGGGGGCTGATTAACTGTCAGAGGTTCCCTGGCCTTGGGGCTTCTATCTTTGTTAGCCCCACAGGCTGTGGTAAGAACTCCTGAACCACAGGGCTGTCTGCTCCCCTCTCTTCTGCTCAACTCCCTTCCACTCATGTGGGACCAGTCCTGATCATATAATATGCATGCTTGCCAGCCCCTTCCTTAGACACCGCCTAGCATTCTGGGCGTGCTCAACCCCCACCGCTGGCTTGTCTTTCTCAGGGGTTTGTGCCTGTGGCCTGTCTCTTGGCCTGACTTTCGGGGTCCCTGTATCCTGACTGGACCTGATTTCCTGACTTTATTCCTGGGTTTCCAGAGTATGTTCTGGAGCTTGCACTGTCCACTCTGGGACCCATAGAAGGATGAGCTGGCCAGTGCCCCCCAGACAGAAACCTCAGAGCCATACACAACACTTGACAAATACATTCCCAGCCTGCCCCTACCCTCATCAGAGTCTGCAGGGCAGAACCCAGGGGTTTGCCTGCTCTATAGTCCTTGCCTGAGGTCAGGCAAGCAGAGGAGACTCTGGGATATCAGTGGGAAATGCCCTAGTGGGGAGCTTGAGGGAGAAATCTCCCTGGATGCTGCCTGGCTGGTCCCTGTGCCTCAGAGTCTAGTTCTCTATAGTGGCACCTGCTCCCCCTCCACTCAGGACACCTGAATGTGGCCGTGTGGTTCCAGAACAAGAATCACTTGTGAGCCCTTCCTGGAACTCCAGTTTCACCTCAAGTAGCGGTTTCACGGTCACCGCGGTCACTGTCACCACTGTGGCCCCACGGTCATCATCTCCAGCATCATCATCAGCACCACATTATAACGATGCTGCCATTGCCACCATTATAATCGCCATTATCGCCATCATCGTGGTATCATTACTACTACCATCATGGTCACTGTTGTCATGACCACGATGACAAGTGTCACCACAGCTTCCATTGCCATTGCCATGATGATGCCACCATGGTCACTGTTGTCATGACCACGATGACAGTATCACCACAGCTTCCATTGCCATTGCCATGATGATGCCACCATGGTGACTGTTGTCATGACCACGATGACAGCATCACCACAGCCTCCATTGCCATCGCCATGATGATGCCACCACCAACCACCATCACTACTACCGCTACTGGCATTGTTGCCACCACCATGACTACGTAACTGCCATCACATTGTGATTGTCATCACTGCCACAATATCACCATCATCACAACCGAAAGAGTTAAATTCCTCACCTGGGTCTGGCCTGACACCCATGTTTGCTGAAGGATAAAATGAACGTCCCTAAGTAAAACAGGAGGTAAAACATTTGCTTAGGGACTTTAGAGGATGGAAATGCAAAGTCTGTCACAGTGGGGTTACAACCTTAGAGATAGCAAAGCAGGGAGGTAGTAAAACCTGTCGCCCTAGTGGCCGACTGAGGACACCAACCGTGTCCTGACCTTAACATTGTGCTGCCGGCTCCGACCGGCTGACCCTTAGTTAAACTCTCGTAAACGTGCAGTTCTGCTTTTGTGATTCTGTGAGCATTTTCTCTGCCCCGATTGTTGACCTATGGTCGAATCCAACATCTCTGTAGTCCTTATATACTGTCTATGTCTCTCAATATCAGGCTGCTCTCTTCTCCTAGTCCAGGGCGGGGTGTGAGTAGAGGCCCGGTGTTGTGATTTTCCTTTTTTTTTGCTTTTGCAACACTACTGCCTCTAACAGATTCTTTGATATAAAATTGGGGATCTAACAATAACTACTGTCAACACTACCACCATCATCACCGCCACAATGTTAGTGATGTTACCATGACAACATCGTCGACGATACCGCCAGCACCATCACCACCTTAATAACGTCATCTTTCCCATCACCCCACCATGATTATAACATCATCACCGCCGTCATCGCTATCATTATCATCACCACTACTACGACACCATCCTCATCACCGCCGTGACACTCTCATCACCTGTAAATGAAAATAGAAGTGAAAGAAGGTATGACTACCTCTAAGGGGCTAAAGTTTTTAACTGTGGGTATTAGGGAGATTACAGGCAGGGGCGGAGACGTCTGGGAAAGTCCAGAGTGAACATGGCTGGAAAACTGAACCAGGCCACGTGAGGAGGCGGGGAAGGGGAGAGAGGAAAGCCAGGAGACCAGGAGACCGAAAAAGACCAACTGCTAAATGGCTGAGTTTATATAAGAGCAGCCTGGAAAGGGGCGGCCCAGCCACTGGGCCACAGAGCCTAGCGTCGGGGCGGGATAAGCCAGCCAGGAGGACTCTGCAACAGGCACTGGCTATGCCCAGTGGGTAGCGTCCTCTTTGATACATTAGTAGGCACCTCAGTTGGCTATTTGTCCCAGGTTTGAGACTTAACAACACGATGAGATCATTGCCATCACCACCACCACCAAGGTTGTCATGACATCACCACCAGTCACTCTTCTAGTTCCCTTTCGGGGGCTTTAGTAAAACTCTCTGGCTAAAAGCAACTTAGGAGGGGCAAGGGCTTACTTGGTTTACACTTCCGGGTCATAGTTCCTCATTGGAGGAAGTCAGGGTAGGAACTCAAGGAGGAACGTGAAGCAAAAACCGTGGAGGATGTTGTTTGCTGACTTGTCCCAAGGCTCACGTTTAACTGGCTTTCTTGTGCAGCCCAGGATCACCCACCTAGGGAATGGCATCGCCCACAGTGGGCTGGTCATGCCCCCCATTAATTAACAACTAAAACCATCTCCCACAGACAGGTCCACAGGCCAATCTGATAATGACATTACCACTCAAGAGAGACTCCTCTCCCGATAAATTATGCTAACTAGGACATTAATTAACCTTCATAACCTTCATTGTGACATCATTTTCAACACCATTACCAGCAGCATGATGGTGCCATCATAGTGCAAAATTACAGCAGTAGTGGGAAACTTCTTAATAGAGGACCTACTGTGTGCCCTGTAGGGTGCTGGTCACACTGGCAACTGGCAGTCCTGGAGCCTGTGACTTGGTCACACATAGTAGGTGTGATAATCCTGGAATCACTTGCCTTGTGTTGCCTGTTGGTGAAGGTTCCACCTCCGGATGACCTCAAAGCCAGCACTCCAGATCCCCAGGTGGAGGATTATTATTGTAGCGTCACAGGAAACCTGCAGGCTGTGGTGTCAGGGGACAGCAGGTAGATGCTGGTCCTGCTCTGTTCAGGGCTTGCGTTGTGGTTGCAGGCTGGTTTTTCAGCCTCTCTGAAATATCACATTTCCATATTAGTTTCAACAGGCCTCATCCTCACAGATTTTCCTACTAACTATTGGTGTGTCACAGGCTCACCGCCAGGTGGCAGCAGAGGCCTTGCTTCAAAGACAGACCTTGGCCCTTAAGGGTCTCCTTCATGGGTCCAGGCAACCGGGGCAACCGCAATAAACAACCGCAGAGTCAGGCGCTGGGGGCCTCTGCCTGTGTGACAAGGAACTGTAGGAGATGCCCCAGGCCCCAGGATTCTTGTCCATCAGGGAGCCTGAGCTGGAGACGCACAGAGGCCCTGTGGAGGCCAGCCGTGTTTCCGTGTAGAGTCTGTTGGAACAACCATTAGAAGGACAGGTCACCTAACATTAGGCCGGCACCGTGCAGCTCCGTGGCGGCTCCTGCGCACAATGACGCGGGCTGTGAGCCGGCTGGGCCCCAGGGGTTACAGCGGCTCCCTGGGAAGCCTCTGGCAGAGACAGTCAGAACGGCTTCCTTCCGGCCACGGCTGCGGAGACCCGTGTGGGGGCTGGGAGGCTGGACGAGAGGGGCCTAGCTGGAGACCGCAGCCGACACAGGTGTTGAGATCACATGTTCTGTCAGCCTGGCTCAGCTTGCTGGTGCCGGCTAGAACAATGCGCCCAGGGAACCCTGCCTTCGTGTGGGACAGTCCTAGCTTAGAAGGAAAGGCATGAAGGGAGTGCTGGGGGCTAGGGACTGGGTCTGCTTCAGGATGGCATCTGCGGGGTACAACTCCCCCTCTGCACCCCTGCATTCTCTCATTTCAGGATGCCTGAGAGGGAGCCCCATTCAGGCTGGAGGCCCTGCAAGGTGGCGACTCAACCCTAGACTGTAGCTATCAGGAGGTCCCTCAGCCTCTGCGCCCTTCCCCCTCCCCCTCCCCCTCTCCACCCCTCCCACATCCCCCTCCCCTCCCCCTCCCGGCCAGGCTGCTGCTGTTAGCTGAGAGGCTGGGAGCCCCAAGGACGTGTGATTTCTTCCAAGATTCCTGGCTGAGGACTGCGTTTACTGGAGAGGCAGGCAGACCACAAACCTGAGTGTGCAGGCTGCCACCATTAGAATAGAACAGAGAGGAAACCACACACGCAGGCACACATAAATCAGGCTACAAGCATTCATGAACACACATGCAGGCACACAGGGGCACACACACACCACACACACACACACACACACACACACCACACACACACTCCACACCACACACCACACACACACACACACACACACACACCACACACACACACACACACACTCCACACCACACACACACACACACTCCACACACACACACACACACACACACTCCACACCACACCACACACACACACTCCACACCACACACACACCACACACACACACTCCACACCACACACACACACACACACACACACACTCCACACCACACACACCACACACACACACACACCACACACACACACACACACACACACACACACACACACACACACACACTCCACACCACACACACACACACACTCCACACCACACACACACACACTCCACACCACACACACCACACACACACTCCACACCACACACACACACACTCCACACCACACACACACACACACACTCCACACCACACACACACACTCCACACCACACCACACACACACACTCCACACCACACACACACCACACACACACACTCCACACCACACACACACACACACACACTCCACACCACACACACCACACACACACACACACACTCCACACCACACACACACACACTCCACACCACACACACACACACACACACACACACCACACCACACACACACACACACACACCACACACACACACACACACACACACACTCCACACCACACACACCACACACACACACACTCCACACCACACACACCACACACACACTCACACACACACACACACCACACACACACTCCACACCACACACACACACACACACACACACTCCACATCACACACACACACACTCCACACCACACCGCTGCCACAGCCACAGCCACAGCCACACTTTGGCCTCTGCAATCTGCCTCATTGTGCTTTCTACTGAGGAAAATACCTCTTCCTTATGTTCAAGGGTATCTGAAGGCCACTGGGAAGGAGCGGCTGTGTGGTGATAGTTAGGAGACTTGACACCTTTATTCTCATGTAATCTGTGAGCCCCCATGCCTGTGTCCCCAGCTGTGAGCCCCCCATGCCTGTGCCCCCAGCTGTGAGCCCCCCATGCCTGTGCCCCCAGCTGTGAGTCCCCCATTCCTGTGTCCCCAGTGTGAGCCCCCCATGCCTGTGCCCCCAGCTGTGAGTCCCCCATTCCTGTGTCCCCAGTGTGAGCCCCCCATGCCTGTGTCCCCAGCTGTGAGTCCCCCATGCCTATGCCCCCAGTGTGAGCCAGAACTCCGGTTAAAAGACTGGTTCAGAGCCCAACCCCACAAGCCAGGCTCTCCAGAGAGCTGAGGGGACAGGGGCACAGTTGCATGAGACCTGTAGGGCCAGGTAAGAGGACGGGTGTGAGGACTTCAGAAGCGAGATTCATTTTTCTGAGGCCAGGAGATCAACCACAAGTGTGGGTGATGTCCCTGAGGTCCCCAGTCATGGCCTTTGGGGCTGCTTCACACACGCTATTGTGCCCGTCCTCCCCAGGAAGCCCCAGCTGTCAGAGCGTAGACATCACACTTGATGGCGGCTGAGACCTAGGAATGAATAGGGTGGAGAGGAGCAGCTTGGACCATGGTGCAGTCTCCAGCTGGCCAAACCAGGGGTCCACGCAGTGGCCCACAAAGTGAAAGGCTCTAAGTGTCTTAGCCACGGAGGTGCCTTTCCAGGCCAGTTTCTTCATCTTTGTGAGACAACTTCATGATTTAGTCAGTCCATCGAAATGAATGGCTTGTGATGCACGCAATGATCCACAAACCAGGAGAGTAGCTAAGCCTGTTCCTGCTCTCCTCATCTTTCGCAGAGCTGACTCCTTGAGGCCATCAGCAAGGGGCCACCCACTTGTGATTCCCAAGGGCTGAGCTGCATGCCGATGTGTGGAAGCTTGTGTTTCTGTTCTAGATGTTTCTATGGCAATCCACAGAGCACACCCACTGATGACCCCTGTTAGGGTCCATCCATGAGTCACCTATTAACAAGCTCAGGGCAATGGCCCACCCAGAGGATACTGGCACCTTCTGGCTCTAACACTTGTTCCAGGAACCAGGAAATGTGACAGAGCTTCCCCGGGGGACAGGGACTCTACTGTCAGGGGTCAGGCCTCCGATCTTTCCAGGAAGAAAGCATGACCTCAAATAGTATTTCAGGGCCCCTGTCACTCCCCCACATATCCCACCATAAGACCAAATGAAAAGCTGGCTTTGGCTGTCCCTGAAGGCTGAACGGGAAGCAGGGATGGAGAGCTGGGCTTGAAGGGGGTCATTTGGGAGCCCCCATAATGTGCATGGTTTCTGGGCATCTTCACAGGAAGATATCAGGAGGGGGATGAGAGTAAGGGGAAGTGGGAGGGGCTCACATTGGCTGGCACCAGGGCGAGGCATGGGCTTATTTGGTAGAGAGCTTGCCTAGCATTCATGGCCCTGGGTTGCATCCTTGGTGTTTCAGAAACCCAGACTGTTGGCACCAATCAGAGGGGACTTTGTCTTACCTGGCGGGAGTGTGAATTAGTGGATACACGCTTATTTTGTGGGACGGTCTAGGTAACTTAGAGAAAACAGTCCGGGGACACGTCTGGGTGGAGGGAGGGTGATTCGAGTGTGAGAAGAGGTAGCGTGTGGAAGGTGAGAAGGGTTTGCTCCTTATCCTCGGGGGTGGGGGGTGGGGGTGGGGTGGGGTGTGGGGGTGGGGTGGGGGGGACGCACTCTGAAGGCCAGTCTCACAGAAAGGCTGACTTAGGACATGTCCTGTAGGGGAGAGCTGGGTACCCAACCTCCTGTCTGGCTCAGGAATCAGGGGTGCAATAACCGGGTGACATTCGGGTTAGTGACAGGAGTTTGCTGGCTCACTTTAACCCAGGACACCCAAATTGACCTCACCCATGGCAGACCATCTCAGTAACCTGTCACTGTTGCCCTTGAAGCCAGCCTAGCACTAGTGACGTTAGCAGGATGGTGCCCTGGGCTGACGCAAAGTCTGTGGGTGGCTCTGACGCTTGCTGGGTATGGAGCTCTGACTGGGACGTGCGAATTGTTGCCCCACTTCGTAGAAGAGGGGGGCAAGTGTCTTAGGGGGAGCTGGCACCATGGCACCTGGGGTCAGAGCCAGCTACGCTGGATGGCTGCTGTCTGAGAGGAGCTGTTTTCTCCCGAGGTCATCAAGTTTCCACACCCCCAATCAGCAAGCTGGAGCCTGGGGTCATGCCTCTAGAGGTGGTGACCTGGGGCAGGTCACAAGGTCACTGTCAGTAGGAAGACTCAGGTGCAGGAAGAAGCTTGGCACGAGTGGAGTCTCCATTTTACTTTAAAGGGACAGCATTTACTTTGCATCCAAAAGTGACAGAGGGGGCAAAGAGATGGCTCAGAGGTTAAGAGCACTTGGCTGCTCTTCCAGAGGCCCTGAGATCAATTCCCGGCACCCACGTGGTGGCTCACATCCGTCTGTACTCCCGGTGTGAGCATAAAGACAGAGCACTCGTATATATAAGATACATGAATAAATACATCTTAAAAATTAAAGTGACAGAAACACCAGGAAGACTGGATCCCAGCATTTAAAAAACTCAACACAAGTGTTCTCATCTTCGTGTTAATAGTCTTGCAGAGGCCACACGACTTCAGGGCCTAGGGCCTAGGTGACAGGTGGAGCTGCCAGGCTTCCAGTCGGCCTGTGAAGTAAGCTAGAGGGGCTTGGGAAAGGCCTCAGTGTCCAGGCCATGGATGAGTCTGGAATGGCCTGGCCAGCCTGAGCAGGGGTGAATCTGCTGGGCAGAGCGTCTTTAGCTGGAGCTCCGATTCCCAGCAGCTAGCTCAACCAGGATGCTGTGGGGTGTGTGGAGTCCCAGGGCTTGGGGCTAGGGTGAGACTGTGGGTTCTGGATGACCAGCTGGCTACCTTGGAAAAGGCACAGTGCCCACATCAGGGGGCGTGTCGGTGAGGAGGGAACCAGGCTGTTGTCTCATGAGGCTGTTGGTTCCTGGCAGTAGAACTACCCTTTGACAAGCAGGGCTGACAGATGAGCATCTTGCTCTCAGACAGCCCAAGACATGAAGCTCAGGCAGCAACCAGGATAACCAGGCCCAGGAACAGGGTGTGGAAGGAACAAACTTCATGTTCTTACCTCCCCCCCAACAAACAGCACCACCCTGGAGACTGGGAAGGGCCCTGTAGCCCTGCCGTCCTGGGAACTGGCTCCCAGTACCACCGAGGTTGCTGCTGGATTTCACACGGCCGACAGGGGGCACGTTCTACCCAGATCCAGGCCCAGGGAGGAAGCTTGCTCCCCTCCTCCCTCAAGACTCGTCGCCCAAGCTGCCTCAGCAGTGTTAAGGTTGACGCACAAAGGTGGGCCACTGGCCTGCTGGGAGGGAGGCGTGGGAGGCTGTGGGGGAGGGCCCGGGGCAGGGGAGGGAGGGTGACAACGTAGGATGGGCTGG